TTGTTGTACAATTACGCAAGTGAATCAAATGATGCTACTTCTGCTCTGTGATTGGAATACTGTATTTCTATAAACATTATAATTGATATTCCTGTGTTTTCCTTTACAACATAGGAACTGTGGAAGAATAACACAGTCCTTCACAATTGTGTTGGTGCAACATGTCAGAGGCTGTTTATTCTCAAGCAATATTGCAAGGGGGAGAGTGCACAATGGCAGTTCTCTGTTAGATAAACAATTAAGTCAAACATTTATGTCTTTTGTGACATACAATAATGATCAACAACTGCATTTTGTTTATACATATTCCTTTCTGATATCTTACTTTTCTCAGCAATTTCTGCTACAGTCTGCATTCTATTCTTATCTAACACAAGGTCGAAAAACAGCATCTCTTACAGTTCTTTTCCACTCGTGAACATGTCAGAGAGACAATCAGAGATTTTAGTTTGGACAGAAGGAGACAGGTCTGGCATAGAGAGGTGGGTTTGTAAGTTGTCAGCACAGAGATGGTAGATGAATTTTTGCTTGTTGATGAGATCACCCAGAGATAATGTGGAGAGGGTGGAGAGAAGCGGACCAAGGACTCAACCCTGTGGTACCCCCACAGAAAGCTGAAGAGTGGATAAGGGAGATCCTTTAAGGACATGCTGAAGGTGTGATTAGAGGTAGGAGGAGAACCAGAAGAAGATAGAGCAAGGTTGCCAACAAAGAATAAGATTTCAAGAAGAGCATGGTCAATGCTTTTGAAAGTGGCTGAGACTGAAGTACTGATTTTGATATCTGGCTAGGAAGAAGTCATTAGAGATTTTGATGAGAGGGATTTCAGTGGAGTGCAAGGGATGGAAGCCAGATTGGAGAGGGTCTAACTACAATTACCTCATCCTCCTTATTTAGTCTACTAGCATTTTGTGACTACCTTAGTGTGGAATTGTCCTTTTCTCAGTCCATACTCTGCTGCCCTCTAGGGGTCACAGAATCATAGACTATCAGGATTGGAAGGGACCTCAGGAGGTCATCTAATCCAACCCCCTGCTCAAAGCAGGACCAATCCCCAGACAAATTTTTGCCCCACAAGGATTGAAGTCACAACCCTGGGTTTAATAGGCCAATGCTCAAACCACTGAGCTATCCCTCCTCATGATGTGATACAGTTGCTAAAGATGGTTGGGAAAAGTTGTTTTCATTGACAGAAAATCTCAACATAAATGGAAAACAAAAACCAAAAAAAACCCCAAAAGATTTCACCAAAATTTTTGGAATAAAATTTTGACTTTTTTCAAATCCTAAAATCTTTTTCAGCCCAAAACTAAATATTTGCTTTTCACATTTGGGGGAGAGAGTTAATGAAAATTAGAAAGCATCTATGGAAAGCAGACACTTTTTGCAGAAATTTTCATTTAGCGAAACACCCCAATTTTATGTCAAAAACAGTCTAAACTGAAATTTTTCAACCGGCCCTGATCATAGTATCTTTGAAGATTAGGGTTTGGAGAGACCTCAGGAGATCATCTAGTCCAACCACCTGCTCAAAGCAGAACCAACCCCAACTAAATCATCCCAGCCAGAGCTTTGTCAAGCCAGACATTACAAACCTCCTGTTACTTAATCTTACTTAAAAACCTCCTGTCATAAACATACTGCTAACAGTAGCATACAATCCCTCTTTTACCTGTAAAGGGTTAAGAAGCTCAAATAACCTGGTTAGCACCTGACCAAAAAGGACCAATAAGGAGAGAAGATACTTTCAAATCTGTGGGGGCAAGGTTTTTGCTTTGTTCTCTCTGGGTCAGCGAGGAGCCAGGGCAGGGGGAATACATCTAAAGCCATACCTGAACTAAGCATCTAAGATTACAAATTGTAGGTAATAGGAAGGAAATGTGTTAGATTATCTTTTATTTTAGCTTATGAATTTTCCCTAGGCTAAGAGGGAGGTTTATTCCTGTTTTTTTGTAACTTTAAAGTTTTGCCTAGAGGGGAATCCTCTGTGTTTTGAATCTGATTGCCCTGTAAAATTACCTTCCATCCTGACTTTACAGAGGTGCTTCTTTTACTTTTTCTTTATAATAAAGTTCTGCTTTTAAGAACCTGATTGGTTTTTAGTGTCCTAAAAACCCAAGGGGCTGGTCTGTGCTCACCTATTTGGTTGGTATATTATTCTCAGGTCCCCCCAGGAAAGGAGGTGACCCTTTGGGGGATATTTTGGGGAACAAGAACTCCATATGGTTGTTTTCCTTGAATCTTTATCTAACTCATTTGATGGTGGCAGCGATACCGTCCAAGGACAATAAAGAATTTGTGCCTTGGGCAAGTTTTTAACCTAAGCTGGTAGGAATAAGCTTAGGGGAACTTTCATGCAAGTCCCCACATCTGTACCTAAAGTTCAGAGTTGGGAGGGAACCCTGATGCCTCCTGTTATTTAATCTTTTACAGCTAACTCTTCAAGGTCACCATCCACTTACTCTCTTCCATTCTCATGGTCTGCTAATTCTTTCCACCTCCTCCCATCCTGATTAGCAATTTGGCCTTGCCTATGAAAGTCCTGACAATTATTCCTAGCTATGTGGTATTGTTTTTAATTAATGGGGGCTAATGACACCTAAAATGGCTGTGGTTTAGTTTGGTAAAGTTCTGGGGTTACATTCATCACTGTAGCTACCTAATGATCCCATCTAGCAACCTGATGACAATTGGCCCTTGTATCATGTAGCTAAGCTTGGCAGAATTTTATTTTTCCCTATAATTTCTACACATAATAATGTTTATTTTAAGCATTTTTTTCATTTTTTATTGATTTACATTTTCATAGTTTTGCAAAATTATGGGTTTAAGCATATTTTTCTTGATTTTTTTATCAATTCACAGTTGCAGAAAATTATGGGGTTAGGCAGTAGGGGGGTGAGACAATAATTATTTAATGACAGTAGGTGTTGAGAGTCAAAAAGCTAAAACTTTATAACAGTTAAAACACAAACTCTTAACGTCACTTGTCAAAATACTCAAAGTAAATATGCTTAAAACACTCTAGTACATTCTCAAACAGCATTGTTCTTGCTTTTCCTATCTGTACATTTTGATTATTATCAATGAAAATATTTTTTCATTGGTTTATGTGTGTGTGGTGAAATCAACATTTACTGACATTTGCCAATACAAATCTAATCCTTCCAAGCCTGAATATAGCCAACACTTCCTCATTGCTTAACCTTTCCAGACTTCCTGATACCTGCAATATGCAATATGACCACAATCTACTGTGTACAAAATGTATATGCTAAGAATTCAACTGTGATGCTAACCATCTCCTAAAATGTATCGTAACCCTAATTATATCCATAATGATAAATCTAACAGTAATTCTAACCCTAATTGTACCCCTAACCCTAACACTAGGTCTAGCATAACCCCTAAACCTAACTCTAATCCTAAACTAAAGGTCACATTTTAAATGGTGCCTAGTAGTATTTTCAAAAGAACCTAGGCACCTAGGTGAAATCAATGAATTTGAGGTGCCTTGGTGCTTTAGAAAATCCCATTACGTGCCAAAATACCTGTAAAAATCAGGCCCTAAATCTAATGGTAACCCCACAATTGTATATTCTTATTGTAACCTCTAACCCTCAGCATAACCCCAACCCTAACACTAACCCTAATCCTAAATGCAGCTCTAACCCTAACCCTACACCTACCATGAACTCTAACCCAAACACTAACCCGAATCATAGTTTAAATTCCACAGATTTAGATTCAAAATTCTTATCCTCAAATTCAAGGCTGTTCAGAATGCTTCCCAGCCCTATTTATCCGGTCGCATTACGATCCTTCCACACCTTCCATTCTACCAATGACACTAGCCTTTAGCACCTGTTTGTCTGTTTCTACCACAAATTTCTCTGCCCTTGCCTCCATGCTGGCCCTTTCTCATGGAATGCCCTCCCTGAACTGATCTACAAGGACATTGTTCTGTCCTCTTCCCACTCCTTCCTCAAGGTCCATCTCTAGAGTAACAGCATGTGCATGGCTGAGGATGGACTTCCTAAACTCTTAATGCAACCAAGGGTATGAGACATATGACTTTGGAGACAAGAACATGACACTGGGATTTAGAAGATAGAGGGCCCAGCCACAGACTGGAGATAGAAGGACATAAAGAGTAGGAAAAATAATATATGTGTGAGAATTTCCTTATCTCTCTTTTCTCATTTTTTAGAGAGCAGTTTACACAGTTAAGTTTCTATAGATAGATAAGATAGGAATATGCTAGAATTTTGTTTAAATTAAAACAAGGGGTAGAGTGAAGGTTGCCTGTGTAACTTACATTTTTTCTCTTCACTTTTGAATGCTTAACTGTGCTACTTAATAGTTCTTTCTAAAATGTCACCATTCCCACTCTGTCCACTCGACATTCTCATGTAGACAACATTCTCATTCTCAGAGACAATCATCACAACCAAAAATGTATTTTGGTACTTTAACAGAAGTAATAGTAATAAAAGAGTTCCGTAATTTCTATTTATTAGCCATGAAATTGTGCATGGCACTGTAGAAGCACGCAAAACACAGGAGATCAGATCCTCAGGTGGGCTAAATTGGTGTAGCTCCATTGAAATAAACTGAGCTATACTGATTTACATGGACTGAGGAACTGGCCCAGGGAGATAAATTGTGCCTTCAATCACACCAGTGTGAACTCCGGAGATACTTCATGGATAATGCAGAATTATTCCATAGATGCTTCAGAGGTTTTCCACAGATATTCCATATTTACTCTAAAAATACTCCAGCATTTCTTCTTAGATACTCTAGAGTTATTCCATAGATACCACAGGGTTTGTTCACAGGTTTTATTATTACAAAGTTACTCCGGTATAAATGAATGCGAAATTTGGCCCATATACAACCAGAACACCATACCTGAACAGTTTGCACTTTTCTTTCTTTCTTTCTTTCTTTCTTTCTTTCTTTCTTTCTTTCTTTCACCCCCGAGCCCAGAGTAAGTATCATCTGACTAATTTCTTCATAGTGTTCTTAATCTCCTTATTCCTGAGTGTGTAGATCATGAGATTCAGCAGGGGGAAGATCACAGTGTGGAACACGGCCACCACCTTGTCCATGGAGAAGGACCGAAATGGCTGGGCATAGAGGAAAATGGTAGGACAGAACATGACAAAGATGACTATGATGTGGGTGATGCAGGTGGTGGCTGCTTTGCTCTTCCCTTTGGGGGAGTGCATTCTCAGCTTGGCCAGAAGCACAGTGTATGAGATGACCAGGAGAAGGAAGGGCATCAATATGACCAGCCCGTTGTTGGCGAATGTCAGTAGCTCCATTGTGTAGGTGGCAGTGCAGGCCAGTCTGATGACTTGATGCATGTCACAGAATAAATTGTCCAGAACATTGGGGCCACAGAATGGGAGGCGGATGGTCAGACCCACCAAGATAGCGACATGCACAAACCCTCCTGTCCATGCTACCCCCGCCTGGACACAGCAGACCCTTCTGATCACCAGGTTCATGTAGTGGAGGGGCATGTAGATGGTCATGTACCTATCATAGGCCATGGCCATCAGCAGGAACATCTCAGCTGCCCCCAAGAAGTGGAGGAAGACGAGCTGGGCCATGCAGCCCACATAGAAGATGGTCATGTGCTCATAGAAGAAGTCACCCAGCATCTTCGGGGGGGGGGGAAGGGGGCGGGTGATGGAACAGTAGCAGATGCCCAGGAGGGCCAGTTTGGCCAGGAGGAAGTACATGGGGGACCCTAGGCTCAGGTCTCCTTGTATGGTGAGAATGATGAGGACATTGCCTAGCAGAATCAGCAAGTAGAGTGGCATGAAGAGGAGAAAGAGGATGAGCTGGACCTCCCAGGCCTGGGAGAGACCCAGGAGCACAAACTCAGCCACACTTGTCCCATTTCCTTGGTCCATCTCTCTGTAACTCACACAGCAGAAGACAGGGGACAGGACCATTAATAAAGGCCTTACCATAATGTCACATGCCCCGTAGTTACAAGTCAGCCAGACCTGGAGGATGTATGTGGGTTACACCTCAGTGAGTGGGTATTAAGAGGTAGAATATGGTGTTGCTTACTGTCCAATGGGAAAAATTCTGCCCCCACTCACTCATACTGGGGTTCTTCCCCATTGGATTCCACCCTGGGAGCATAATGAGTATGAGGAACACCATGCTGGATGGGACCAATGGTCCATTTCAGCCCCCATGCTGGACAGGACATATTTCTACATCTTTTTTCCCATCCCCTGACACAAATCAATAGGATGAAACCAACGGACCCATCTAGCTTGGTATCCCTCTTCCACTGATCGTTCATCCATCTAAACTGATAGCCCCACCTCTCTGCCCATGCCATATAAACACCTGTAGTCCAGCAGCTTGCCTCATTTCTTCACTGCAGTAGAGCAATGGCTCCCTCTGTTCTCATATCCCCACCTTCCTACCATGAAGGATTATGTTCTCAGTCCATCCAGTACAGTATCTGCTCCCCCTCTATGCACTGGACCAAACCATTGACCTATCAAATAATGATACTTAGCTCCTATGAGTTTAATCAGCAGATATTCAAGCACTTTACCAAGAATATCATTATCAACATTTTACAAATTGGGAAACTGAGGCACAAGGAAGGGAAGTGACTTGACCTAGGTCATATAGGAGGTCAATGGCAGAGCCAGTGTTTAACAGCCAGGTCTCCTGAGATCCACTCCAATGACATAATCATTAGACCACACATAGTCTGGGGCCCCATATTTCTGCCACATCAGAATAGTTGTTTGCAGTGGTTTTGTAGCCATGTTGGTCCCAGGACATTAAAGAGACAAGGTGGGTGAAGCAACATCTTTATTGGACCAACTTCTGTTGGTGAAAGAGACAAACTTTTGAGCTATACAGCCCTGATGAACAAGTCTTTCATCAACAGAAGTTGGTCCAATAAAGCTATTACCTCACCCACCTTTTCTCTCTAACATCAGAATAAAGCAATCGTTCATCTATGGTTTCCCTATGTCCAGCATAGAGGTGTCTAGAACTTGGAAAGTACATTCTGCAGGAAATTCTGGCATTTCAAATTGTATTATCATTCAAAATCAGAATGTAAGAATGGTCGCACTGGGTCATACCAATAGTCCATCTAGTCCAGTATCCTGTCTCTGACAGTGGCCAGTATCAGGTGCATCAGAGGGAATGAACAGAACAGGGCAATTTTGAGTGATCCACCCTGTCATCCAGTCCCAGGTTTTGGCAGTTGGAGGTTTAGGGATACACAGAGCATAGGTGCATCCCTGACCCTTTTGGCTATGCTCCATGAATATATCTTATTATTTGTATAAGGACATAAACAAAAAAAATTACAAAATCCCACAAATCATTTTTTCAAAAATATTTCATTTTGCATCAACTAAAATAATCAGTTTTTGATAAAATCAAAATATTTCATTCTGATTTAGACATTTTATTTCATATTTACTCTAATTTATAATAACTTTTATATAATATTCAAGCAAAAATAATTTTGAAATGACAAATTGGAATGTTCTGTTCCAAAGATCAAAATATTCCAATTTTAACCTTATCAAAACACTGCATTTCAATTTTTTTCAACAATGTTTCACTGAAATCGACACACTCCCATGGAAAATTTAGATTTAATTGAAATGCGATTTTTGCAACTGGAAAAAAATTTTTGTCACTTCGAGTCCAGGACCTCTGTTCTCTGTAGTAATAGACCAATTTTCCATCAAGTATGGAACAACCAGTTTCAGATTATTCAGATCTGGCAAGGCCTAAATGCTCACATATAACAATACTACATTTTGCAGGGCTGACTCATGGAGGGATACTGACCTGAGATCTGCTTATCTCATCCACTCGTACAAAAACATTCCATTTACATTTCCCCCCAATCTCTTCACAAGAGCACAATAGTCTCTCCAGCCTGGCTTTTAGCTGGCTCTTGTTAGCAATCGGGGGCTTTAAACTATGCAGATGAAAATCATGATTTCCTCTGCTGTGCCGGGCTTTGGTAGATCATGGATCACAGAGCACTACTTGAGACAAAATAGAAACAACTGGGATGGGACTGTAGTTCAGAAGTCAGGGGCACTGGCAGAATTGAGTGTGGGGAGCCAAAGACTGGAATAACAATGAGTGCTGGGGATTGGGAGTGAGGGACATATTCAGACCTGTGTGGTGTAGACATAGGTTAGGATAGACTGAGCTGGATGTCTGGATTAAGGGTCATTCACAGAGCAGTGGAGGGGCAATAATGCCAGGGCTCATTTAGCAGGTGATCCCCTGGGACAGTACAGCATTCTTTGGGGAGGCCAGAATTGAAATCGCAGATGAGGGAGGGAGGAGATGCAGATAAGGGTGAGGGACCTCTGCGGGGGAAGTGGACGCAGTTAGGTCAGCATTGAGCTGCATCAACAGAGCTCTGGAGGGAGGGGGCAGGGAGCCAAAGCCTGGGGTTGGTGCAAGGGCTGAAGGTTGGGACTGAGAGTCACCAACAGAGATGTGTGGAGTGGAAGCCCAGGGCAGGATAGGAGGGGGAAATGTGCAGTGGCCCAGGACTTGGCTAGGCTATGCCTGCTGTGACGAGAGGCAGAGGCAAACCAACACAATGGAGATAACCCTAAATTTTTAATTTCAAAAACGGAAAACTAAGAAACGTATCAGGAACAATAACAGAATAGAAATAATATAAAGTAACATCCAATGCTTATCTAGGAAAATCATAAACTGTAAATTACCATCACAATAAAAGACATTTTTCAACAGCCTGCTTTCTCAACCCAACAGGGAATTGGCTCCTCTCCCGGCTTTGCGATGATCCTTTGTTTCGACAGTGCGGTGACTTCACCTCTTTCCAGCAGGACCACCCACAGCTGACAGCTCCTCACGCACACCTGTTCCCCAGCACCCAAACTGTATCCCTCCATCAGGGTCCCAATGGGCAACATCACCTGTCATACGCTTGGTGCCCCTTGCAGCCGGGGTCCTTGCACACAGCCCTCCATGGACCGACCTCTCCCAGATCCTCAGCAAATCCCCTTTTTGCCAAGTGCTGTCCCTTTTCATTTCCTTCTTCTCCACCCGCCTTTCCACTGCCTCCTCTCCCAAGACCCTTCCCCAACTGGGTCTGCCCTCTCTCAGCCTGGCTTTCTCTCCAGCACAGCACTCTACACTGCTGCATCACAGCTGCAGGCCCTAAAAAAATCCCTGCTGCAGGTGCTGGTGCCAGGGCCAGGGTTACTGCACATGGATCTAGGATGACTATGGGACACCAGCAGAGCTAGGGAGCCTGGAATAGCCTGCAGGACTGAGGATGGGGAGTGAGGGGAATTGGCAGAACTGAGCATGTGCAGTGAGAAGGATGGCTCATGGCAGAGATAGCAGGGTGCTATAGATTGAGACTGAGGCGCATTGACAGGACAGTGAGTGGGGGAGCCCAGGGCTGGAACAGCAGTGGGGCTGTGGGTAGAGATTCAGGGACATTGGCAGAGCTGAGTGGGTGGGTGGGAGAAGCCCAAACCTAGGCTAGCAGGGGGCTGTGGGTCAGGATTGAGGGGCACCGGCAGAGCTGTCAGAGTGGGAAGCCCAGGACTGGAGGTTGTGTGTCAGGAACTGGGGGAAATCACCAAAGCTGTGAGTAGGCAAAATGATTCTAAAACACAGGCCAGCTATTTCTCTTATCCTGTTTCTTTCCTCCCTTTCCAGTTGGCCAAGAGGAGCTGTGACAATCTGAAGGACATACACCGTACAGAGGAAGAAGAACTATTGTGGGGGAGCATGAGATGGGCAGCGAACAAGATGCGGTTGAAAGCAAAGGAAAACAGCTAACTCACAGGAAAGTTGGCTGCCTGTGTTGAGACCTGGGAGACAGTGGAACGCTTTGGCCAAAGCAGCTGATCTTTCCATCAGTTTGCTGGAAAAGGGAACTGGGTACCAAACAGTGATAGAGTCAATTTCACCAGTAGGTTGCTGGATCAAATCAATCCAGAGTTTCAGGCCAGAAGGGACCATTATGATAACCTAATCTGACCTCCTGCATAACAGAGACAAGAGAATTTCCCCTACTGATTCCTCCATCAGTCCCAATACCTGCTGTTTGCAGGAAAGCATATCCTTTAGAAGGAGATGTCAGAACTGGATTTAAAGTCTTCGCTTGACAGCGAATCTACCATATCCCTCAATGAATCCAGCAAGCACTTAAGGTTGGCACTGACTGAAAGTTGTCCCTATCTGATAGGGATTTTCTGACCATTATGTGGGTTTTGGTGTATTCCCCAGTTTGGTAGGTGCCATCATCTGAAAAATGCAACCCCCTGCTCATGTGCTCAGCAGAGAGGCCAGTAACAGAATGGGCCATGAGCTGTATCTACCCTGTGCTTGCAAATAATCTTGCTTGCCAGAAAATTTCACTGCAGCCTGGGGTTGCCATGAGGATGGTAATAATATCATTTTGCCTTTACACAACACTTTCCATTTTAATATCTACAAAGGTGGCTGTACTAGAAAGAGAGCCTGAGACATTAGGCCTGGTATAAGAGACCCGCTATGAGGCCCGAGACCTGAACTAAAGTAGTGGTCAAGCCTTGCTAATATAAAGCAAACTTAGCAAAAGTCAGGCTCTGAGCAGAAGTCAGGCTCTGCCTGCATGCAGGCTCACAGAACCTAGCAAGAGCAGGGCTGATATTGCAAAAACACATACATTCCTGAGAAGTGCTAGGCACAGGACACTCACACAAACACATTCTAGAAGGGTGGTATCAGAACACCCCGATACCAAGTATGGTACAAACACACTTCCTAAAGATAGGAAAATGTTGACCTTTCTTAGAGATAAGGTCAGGATAACAGTGTGATGGATACAGATGTTTCGTTCAAACCAACATGTACAAGGTAAATGGTG